GCAAGTTTCCAATACCCGATATGATTCTGCAAAGAGGTTTAGGTTTTTCGGAGGTTGCAAAAAATGTGTCTGTACACGTGTCTGTGCGCGTGTCTGTGCGTGTGTGTGTGTGTGTTTGACTGGTGGTAAGGAAAGAGAGGTGTGAAGTATAGTCAACTGGAAGTCAGTCAGACAGTCTGTTATGTGTTTGTGAATATCCAGTATGCTTCATCAGGGTGGACAAACTGGAGTCACTGGGTGTGTGTGTGTGTGTATGTGTGAATGATGAATGGCTGTATGAGTAATGGCCACAGTGTTATGAGGTCAGAGCTGCTGCTGAATATCTCCGGGCTTCTGTGTATATGTGTGTGTGTGTGTGTGTGTGTGTGTGTGTGTGTGTGACTGCTAAATCTTGGTGTGTGTTTTTAACTCTATGCATCTTTTATGTTAGGGAGGCAGTTTCCTTGCTTACACAGGGCTTTCTGTCCAATGACACAGACACATATACATGCACACACACACACACAAACACACGCACATGCACACACAAACATTCATACACTCGAACAAGTAAGTGATTGTTTTATGGATTCAACATGGAATTTTTCAATTTAACATTTTATCCCTGCTGGGAATCGACACCTTATTCCTCCCACATTCCACTGGGGAACGGAAACCACTGTGTGTATTTGTGTGGGTGTGCGTGTGTGTGTGTGTGTGTGTGCTTGGCGATTTCTTAATCTATCAACAGCAGCATCCATCTGGTAATGATTCCAGTGGAAAACAAAGGCCATTATTCATCATTCATCCATTAAACTTGTAGATATGTGCATTAGATCCTGTAGGAAACATGTGGAACAACACGACAGAGAACAGCTGCAAAACAAGAGCTCATCTACATTTTCCCTTCTACATTTGACTTCCATTATGACTGAGCGTACAAGGCAAAAAGCCACGCAATTTGATGTTTCTTAGACAACTGGATAATCATACTTTGGCTCAGTTACTTCTGTGAAGTGCAATTTCACACATCAGTTGCTCCAAATTGTTGTAAAAAGTTAAGTGTTTCTACTTAGACGATGACAATGCCAAGAAATTTTAAATAAGACATCTGTACGCTGAACTCAACACATGATAATCAAGACCATAATCGCTTGAAAGGTCAATTTAAAATGCTTGGAATATGCTAATTTGAGAGTTAAATTATTAAAATATAGTTTAAATAATTCAAATGAAGCTACAGCCAGACTAGGGTTAGCTTAGCGCGAGGACTGGCAGCAGGGTAAAAAATGAAGCTGGCTCTAAAAGAAGCCAATAAGAAATGGTTTGACAATGAACCTCATGAAATCTTCAACCCTTAATTATGAAACCATGCTAAACAAACAAGACAAAATGTGTCAATGTGGCAGATTTTGTTATCTTCAGGCTACCGTCAGGCTGCTTCTCCCTCCGGTTTCTAGTCTGCATGCCTTCATATAGAAAGGTACAATAATGAACCTGTTTTCATTAAAAAAAAAAGCAAACAAGACGAGATGTTTGTTGTGGGAATGGTTTGATTTTGACAACGGGGACTACAGCTCCCATGATCCAATGCGTCAGCAAAAAGTTATCCAGCTACATCTTCTTATCCAAACCCGTTGAAGCCATGCAGGCAAAACGTGTTGTTCATTTGATGTTATTAAGAGAAAAGTAATTCAGGCTTCTTGCGTGCGGCGAATCTTCTCATTGGCTGTCAAGATGATGTTTCCTGTCATCACCTGCGCAGATATATAAAGACTGACAGGACTCTGCGCAGGACATTGCCTGTGCATTCAATGTTCATCTTTAATTAGAATGTCGTTATTTCTGATTGTTTATAAAAATGTGGACATTTCCAGAAAATTCCTCTCTTCCTGAATGTGGATGAATCAGACATTGTAGAAATATAATGAATATGTTGAGGAAATGAGAGGTTATTTAAAGAACACTGGGTTTTTAGAGGAGAAGTCCCTGACTGTCCTCCTCTGCATTTCCTCCATTTATCATTTTAGCCGTTCCTTCATTTGCTCATTCCCTCTTTTCCTCCCTTCTTTCTTCTCTGTTGCACTCTTCTCTTTTTCCTGGCAGAGCTCAGAGTGGTGTTACCATCTGTCTGTGATGTGTCCTGGACGCAACTGTGTGTGTGTGTGTGTGTGTGTCTGTGTGTGTGTGAGTGTGTTCAAGGCTGGATGGCCAGGCTGAGCTGGGAACGGGGCTCAAAATGAAAAGAAAAGATAGAGAGATAGAGACTAAAACGAAATATAACATTGAAAAAGAAGCGCTTGAGTCTGAAGGGCAAAAAAACAAAGACATGTTGAGTGTTGCGTGAGTGTGTCTGTATGTGTGTTTATGTTGCAACAGTATGAGCCACAGCTGTGTGATCAACTAACCTTTTCAAAGACCTTGTCGGTGCTTGACGACGACCAGCTGAAAGAGAAGACACACAGCTGTTTTCAGCGTGTATTAGCCGTGTATGTATGTCAGTGATGGATAGCAGAATGAGATCTTTTACTTACTTCAAGTATATAGAAGCAAATCCCTGTTGCAAACTGTGTGTATATCCTGTATGTGTGTGTGTGTGTGTGTGTGTGTGTGTGTGGGCTAATAGCAGATTAAAGGCATTAATCAGTAGCTCTTTAGCAGTGATGTCACTCAGCGGGGTTGATTTGAAACATCTACGTCATCCCTTAATCCACCTCTGGCAATAAATCTGTGTGAATTTGTACATGTGTGTGTGCGCACGTAGGCCATAGGCGTACATGTTTGTGCGAGTGCTCGGTTAGCTTTCACACATTTTTCTTGTGGCTCTTTGTCTGTCCATGTGTGCGTGTTTGTGTGAATATATCCCCAGGAAACAACAAACTGTGTACTTCACTGCTGACATAGGTGCATGGGAACTTCTTTGGGTTGAGTATCTGCATCATTTTTTTTTTTTTTTGCCGCGTTTGAATACACCCCCACGTTTTCACTGATAAAGTTAGCGTTAGCATCACAGGCTGCAGAGTGGTGCGGACACAATTTTGGCCCTCTCAGTTGAAGGCCTGTTATTTTCCACTTAAGATGAACGGCTTTGGTTGTTGTTTTAATTTTGTTCACAGTTGTACTTTCTGGTTTTACTGCTATTATTATGCGAGCAAAAAAAAGAAAAAAAGAAAAGGATCTCCAAATTTAGCTCTCTGGGTTCCTCCCCAATGAGCGCTCGCACAAATGACGCCAGAAGCCCTCAGAAGACACCCTTTGCTTGCTTTGTGTTTCCAAAGGAATACTAATCGGCTGTGTGATGTGTTTTTTTTACAAAGCAAACAGCAGGTGCAGTTATCCCTTTTCCCCTAAACCAAAGCGAGACCTTATTCATCTAATATACCATCTTTTATTAATCCTCCAAACAGGATATTCTCTATAATCCCTCCTCTATTTTAACAACACCATTGTTGATGATGAAGTGCTTTGAAAACTCTTTCACTCTCAACTCTGTTTTTCTTCTACCTCTTTAATGTCTTTTCTTGTATTCGGACATGATTTGACTTGTTGTAATTTTTTTACAAAGTCAGTGTAAGCAGATGAACAACATGTTAGGGAATGTTAATCTTTGAGAACACAATCTTTTCTTACCTTTTTCTAAAATGGGTCTATTGTCTCCATCTTTCCATCTCTGTCTCTCATTGTTCTTCTTGTGTACATGCCCCTCTTGTTGAATAAAAGCCTTCCTCTCTTTCTCGCTAGCTCATTCTTATTTGTGTTATTATATACGGTAACTGCGGTGTTTCAAGTGCACCTCTTTTAATAAAAAAAGTATATCTTGGTTTTGATCCAAGTGCTTATCCAAATTGGGCCGGAACCAGCGTGATTACAATAGACCCAATGGAAACATGGAAACGTAATAAGAGCGCCCTCAGAACCCAATGAGGTTTTCACGCTTTTGTGAAGTGGAAAATTGTTTTGTTGATGAGGAAATTGCCCTGTTGGCACTGATAGACACACACTGCCAGATTGGCCGCTAATGCAACCTTGACATAATGTGGCCTCATATTTGTACAACATGTAAAGGCACTTTGGCAACACCTTCGTCTGAAAGCACACATGAAGGCTTCATGCTGCTCTATGTCTAGAATGAAGCTACAGCCAGTTAGCTTAGCCTAGCATAAAAAAGAAGTAGGCCTAATTGTAAACAGCTAGCTACTTTCTTTTGTTAATGTAAGTTTATTTAATTCATCGTCCAAACAAAACAATTATGTCCAAACATAAAGCTAAGCTAATTGACTAAATTAAAGATATATATCAGTTAGCTTTGGCAGTGTTGTCAGGTGTATGCTGGGGGCTTCAAACCGGCTAGCTGTTTCTGCTTTATTACAATGTTTATGCCAAGCTTAGCTTACGTGCTAGTAGCTTGAGCTTGTAAGTGAAGAAATAACATTAGGCTATTATCTTTCCCCTAAGCAAACAAATCAGTGATAAGATTAAACTTTTGTTTATTTAGTAGGCGACTTTTATAATGTCTGTAAATGCTCGCACCGCGCATGTGTTGGACATAGCAGGCGTTTATTTTAAACAGCGATTATTCACAATGAGTGTAACATTTGACTGTTAAAAGACAGCAGGATGAGATTTTTTGCTAGAAAAGACGAGTAAAACATGTGCAAAAGAAGACTGGCAAAGAGATCAGATGTTCAGTTTGACCACAGGTGATGCCAAAATCGACTCCAAACGATTGATCATCACAAGAGCTTTGACATAAAAACACATTTTCCTTCTTTCCTTGATGTTTCCTTTTTTTGTTTCTGTGGAATCCATTTTGACGTTTTAAACCAATACAGGGCAATAATACTAACTTTTCCTGTTGAACACTGTTTACTCCACTAGTTGCAGTCAAAATATTCATCTGTATTTTAGTCAGAGGTTGTGTGTGTGTGTGTGTGTGTGTGGGTGTCTGTGTAAAGGTTAACTTAATAATGCTGATGTTCCGTGTTCCTCATTCTCTCTCTTTCCCTCTCTGTACTTCACAGGTAGGGCAGTTCAGTGAATTTCTCCATGAATGTACGTCACAATGATGATGACAGACCAGATTCCACTGGACTTGGCTCCGCCCCCCCTCCTGAACGAGGTCTCTCTCATGCCTCACATGGTTAACGGTGACGCAGCTCAGCAGGTGAAACTCACACACATTCATCACACACATCTGTCATTTGCATTCAGTTATCCTCGCAGAATTGACATGCAAATACTTCTCTCAACATGTCTGTGTTGCCATACAAACACCGGCCAGATGCACGCGAGAACACACATCAAACAGTCGTGCAGGAGCTGCTCTTTGTTGTCATGTCATCACCTAGCTCGCAGGTTTTTTTTGTTTTTTTTTGCAACAGGTAATGAAAAGCTGCTACAGTAACACATGTGGTCTTTAACAGAAACAAAAATAAACACAGGCACATACACATGCATCAGTCAATCCTACAGATGTTTTTTATTTTTATGGCAGGGTATAAAACGATTGATGCATCCCAGACTTTAGCTTAAATGACTTTGGAAAAGGCTTGAACTGCTTCTGTCTGAGACTGACTGATCTTATCCGAGGCAGCGGTGCCAACTGGATCACCTTCAAAGTACAAAGCCATTTTGCTCCGTCTGAGCGCTGGACAGACGAAAGGAAGCGATCATCGAAATTAAAAGCATCACAGTTAATTGACCTGCGTCTAATGGGGATAGATTCTTACACGGTGTGCTTTTGCCCGATGAGGTGATGATGATAATGTTTATGTCTCATCCCCGCTCTGTTCCCTCTCAACCCAGAGGAAGCGTGGTGGGGGAGTGGTTTGGTCGCGACACTTAACAGTCGGGGAGGTTTTTGGCTGTTACACACAGCAGTTAATGTGCTCTTTTTTTATTGTAACACCCTGCAGTTTCAGCATGGTTCCCGGTGTGGAATCAGGGATCCAGACCGATGATTATATAGATTTGACTCCTCATGCATGCCTGTGTGTGTGTGTGTGTGTGTGTGTGTGTGTGTGTGTATGTGTGTCCATGTTTGTGTGTATTTGTTGGTTACTTGTGTGTGTCTTTTATCAGTGTCTGTGTGGGCACACAGTGTCTGTGTTGAGACTGAGTACATACTTCTGTGTTTGTGTTTGTGTCTGCTAGCTTGTCTATCAGTTTTCCTGTCTGTCTGTGTATACCTGCCGACACCTGTTTATGTTGTTTGTTTATCTGTGTCTGTGTGTTCTTCTGGTGCGTGCAGGCAGAGAGATCAGAGACATTGATAGCGTGCATCATTGTCCAGCAGTCGTTTTAAGAAATGTGAGCAACATGGAGAAAACCATAAAGAGCCAAAGTGCTATCATAACATGAAAGATAACTGTAACTATAATTCAAGGGAGTATATCTTTCCAAGTGTCTGCCAAGAGTGAAACTTGTTCCTTGACGATCCATAGATATGTTAGTATGAAATAACAGTGATTGAACCCTTCAAAAACATTGATCCATACAGATGTAACATTTTCCCTTATGTCATAATAAAGCCCTATTATGGGAGCCACTACTAGGTTTGGTGTTTTAGTGGATGGAGCATGCATGCTATTATTGGCTACCTGATAAAAGACAACATGATACCAAAAAGGAGGTTCTTGGTTCTGTTCCCATTAGAACCCTCTGCTGCCTGAATTCAGTATGTTACCACGGTCTTGAGAAACCCTGCTGTGAGGCTTGTTCCAGTTTTCAACACATCTGGGGACTGAGAAATCTGTTATTTTTTTTCATACTTGTACATACACAATAAATACTGATATCAAAGTTACTGATTAAAGCATGCTACCAACATATTTCTGAAACCAATGATCTGATATTTGTAGTAGTGTTAACGTTTAACTGATCTTACGGTTGCTATTTAAATGGAGTAATAAACGGAGATCTCGCGGAAACTCGCCTGATCAATCATCACCTCAGAAGAAAAATAAATATATGTGGAGGACGATCAACTGCACCTCAGTGTCACGAGATGTTATAAAGGCACTCGTGTTGTTAAATCAAACATGTTTGATATTTAGGTTTCGAGATCGGGGAGGCTGTGACTCGAGCGGGAGAGGTGAAATAATTGTATTGTCACCACACTTGTGGATTATTTGGACATATAATCGGTAGTGACAAGCCTCCAATCAGACCATGTGATGTTTTTTAATGGCTCTAATTGCACATTGCACCAAATCTAGAAGTTTTGCAGGTTGTATGTCAAGGAATTTGTTTTGTAACTTTTTTTGTTCAGAATATAAAATAGAGTGTAATCACACTGTAGGATTACTGTATCAGTCCTTCTGTTAAATCATATCATAAATGCTGCTACATGGACATATTACATAAACCATTATACGAACTGGTTTACTTTACATAACCCATAAATGCAGTGCATGCACTCACTCACTCACACGCCCACATGGTCTGTTTAGGGGGTTTTCTCAGTCCTTGAGAGACATGGGTCGCCCTGTACTATGCTAAGGTTCCCATAGCAACTGCAGCCGCTGCTGCAGACAGAGCAGGAAGTGTGTGTGTGTGTGTGTCTGTGTCTGTGTGTGTGTGCGAGTGTGATGGGGAGAGGAGCAGGTTAGCGCAGAGATGGGAGAGCATGCAGACACTACAGGAGGAGCGCAGGATATGAGGATTTTACAACGTCACACCTGTAGAGCATAGACAGGGCTGTGCTCGTGTGTGCGTGAATACATGTGCGTGCGTGTGTGTGTAATGGAGGGTCAACTGTTTCATGTCTACAGCCATGTGTACACTCTCAACAATCTGTATGCCGACAATATGACGGTAAGGTGCATGCACACTCCCTTCTGGCTGAAACAAATCAAGAGAGTGTCACATTCACTTGTTTATAATGTTGTATTCCACTAGCCTGTTAGTTGAATAAATATCTATATTTATTAATCCTGCTGTGTTTGATATGAATGTACTGGTTTCAGTGGGTTTTCTCCCAGACAGTTTGGTTTTTTTCAGATCAGGGTGTGCAAGACAGCTGCATTGTCTCTCCATAAGCTTACCTAACACCTCAATCACTTGTGTGTGAACTCTATGTGTCCATCCCTCTCCTTGATCGGCTGGTTATGGTGTGTTATGTCACCTCTGATTGGCTGTCCAGAGAGGAGACAGCCTGTCCTGTTTTTGTGCTTGTTGAAGATGGATGCATGTCTATGGCATTACATGTGACAACTGTTTCTTTATTGCCGCACTTAATCCGTGTTTTCTAACCGCGATCTGTGTGTGTGCTGTGTGTTTGTGTTTGTGTGTTTGTACAGGTGATCCTGGTGCAGGTGAACCCGGGGGAGACGTTTACCATCCGGGCGGAGGACGGCTCACTGCAATGCATCCAGGGTCAGTCCTTCTTCTCTTATATTATTATAATAGCATATTAATTAGCCTAGTGGATGCTCTGTGAGTGTCACTTTAAGACCCAACATTTCTCACAAATTACTGATTATTTGAACATTCATCAAAAAAAAATAAAGCTTAAAGGCAGGGTTGGTCATTTTCTCCAGATACATTTTTTTTTAGATTTTGGTTGAAATTGTCTTTAGGTCCTGACAGACATTAATAATTCATGTGCTCTGCAAAAAGGAACCAAGAAAATCCAATATCTGTAGCAGTTGTAAGCATGTGAAAACTTCCACCAATGTCGGCCACAAGGTACCAATCTGATAAACCAATCATGCCTCCCTATCTCCCGGCTCGTTCTCTACCCTTACGTGCACTAGCAAACACTCAAAGCGCGTCACCAATGACAGAGTTTGTCCTGTGAGTTTGTCGTTGGCCGCTGTGAGTAGTAAAATAGTCAGTATTTTTTGTTTTTACATGGATAATGTATGAAAGTTTAGTGTTGAACACCGAATGAGACGGCGTAGTTTCTACACAAGGCAAGCGATGAGCTGAGGGACGCTTCTGGAGCAACGCCGCTAGTGCATGTAAGTGAGGGGCGTGGCTTGTGAGGGAACACAGAGGGGAGGGGCGGGGCGGTGGTTGTAGACCACAGGTGCAGACGTAGCACTGAGGGAATGCTACTTTCAAAATCATGCCACTTTTCAAAAAACTAGCAACCCTGCCTTAAACAAAGAAAACTCACATGGGAAATATCACACTAGTTATTCCTGACTGTGTGGCATAATAAGTAATATAAGTAGATATTTATTGTCTTTTTTATGACGACAACTAAAAGCTGTCTAGCAGCTATTTAACAGCAGCAGCAGCACAGACTGAACACAGCGACATGAAGCCCCAAGAAAACACTATTATACAAAAACAGCATGAAAAATATTGGATGCTAAAAGTACAAGAGCAGTTATTGCATGGTATTAGCAGTTATCACACTGGAATAGTTGCTACAATCATTTTGTGCATTTCCACTTTGACACAGCACAGTTCTGCATTCACGTTCTGTTGATGCCCCGTGGTAGACAAGCTGAAACAATCCTTTTAAATGACATCCAGCATTTTTGCTGGGTGTTATGCCTTAGATTGCAGCCTCGAGGGGCTGTTTTGAATGTTTCAACCTTCCTTCAGCACAAGAATGCATCATAATCAGAAGTTAGCGTCACATTGGTTGAGCTTTGAGTTTAGACATTCTTTGTTTTGTCGAAAAATAATAGTCGGCAGTGTTGGTAAGACTGTTTGGTTGACATCGGTGTTGAGCATGCATGGAAAAACTCTTAAGATGGTCCTTTGTTGATGTCTTTTTGAAGAGCTGTCAGTAACGCAGCAGTAAGGGTTAGTTAGGAGAAATGCTTGAATCCAAGCACGTTTAAATCCAACAAAAAGTCAAAAGTAAAGTCAGTGCAGCCATGGTCTCTCACTCTCTGAGAATCTGATATGAGAACATGAAAAGCCTGGAATTATAATCCACTTAGAGGCTCTTAAAGACGGAAGGAGGTGGCAGTAACACGGGAATTCCCCAACTCTTGTCTCACTTTGATGATGTCAGCAAAGTAAGTTGAAAGGGCGCCTTTGTTTTCTTCCCTCCCTCTGTCTGTCTCTCTCTCTCTCTCTCGCTTCTTCTCCCACTCCTTCTCTTGCCCTCTGTGTGAAGGTTTTGGCTCAGATACTGACTCTCTCTTTGGAACAAAATCCCCCCTCCTCACCACCACCACCACCACCACCACCCCTTATACTCTATGTTGTAACTAATTACAGCCTGCCTCCGTTTCTTTGCCCGCCGTGTAATTCAATTTTTCCCTGAAATCAGAGGGATCAACCCGGGCAGGCCCCGGAGGCACAGATGATGCAGATTCAGTGCTCAGTAAATGTGCAGATATGGATCAGTGACTGGTGGAAAGACAGAGAACAGAAAGAGCAAAGAATGGCTTACTGCACACAGGCACACATCAGCAGTAAAGAAAACACAGTCTTGACCTCGTCGGAGTCTGGCGGGTTGTCTGTTTATTTGTGTGGGTGCTTGTGTGCGCTCGCATGCAAAATTTAGCATCGAAAGCACAATCTGCATCTGTGTATGTGTGCTTTTTTAGGTGCTTTTTTACTACAGTCGACGACAGTTAATTGGACGGGTGGCCGAGGGGTTTCAGGGTCATGTTTGAATGCCCATATTATTAATGTGGAAGGCCACACACACACACAAACTCTCCCTCTCTCTCTCTCTCTTTGTGGAGGAGGTCACTGGGTTTAATGAGAGGTGGAGTGTGGCAGTGTGCTATGAAGGAGAACTGAGTCGCTCCTTAGACAGAGCCTCGGTGTGATTACTCAGACCTCAATGCTCGGCGTTTTTTTTTTTTTTTTTTTGCATCTGCTCGTGTGCCTGCGTGTGTGTTTGCACTTTGGCGCACGTAGGTACAAGTGTGTATGTGTGCAACCGAGTGCGAGATTACAGAGACCTCGGAGCTCAAGCAGGACCCAGCTTTTATATAAAGTAACCTCTGTTTAGCTGCTGCACTGCGGTGCATGCATGCAAACATGCACACACACACACACACACACAGATGCTCTGCCAAGGCACAACCAGCCTGGAGAAGCCCGACACAGCAGCCAAAGAGATTCTTTCATCGGAAACCTTCATCCCCCTTGCTCACTTCTCCCTCTCTCCTCCTTACACAGTTTGTCTGCCTCTACCTTCAGATAAATCCTGGAGAGGCAAGACGATGATTGTATTTGTGGGATGGTTGTTTAGCACGGCTTGTTTAGCCACACCATTGCTAAATTCGACTGGCTTAATTGTGCTTCTTTATTTGGACTGAAAGTTCGCATAGAATTTAATTACGCCCAACAAATTCCATATCCTCAGGGCACAGAAAGTCTTTCTGGGAGCTGCACTGTGACTAAAATAATTCATGTTTGCTCTGAAATATTAAAGAGTTGGCAGGTATTTTCAGTTTCAGTTATGTTGATGTTGTCTTTACCTGCTCTCTCTGTCTCTCTCTCTCTCTTGTTTATCTGAGACTTTTCTGTTTTGCTTTTTGTGCCACTTTTGAAGCAGTCAACCACTGTTTCTGAATCAGCATGCACTCTGTGTGTGTGTGTGTGTGTGTGCGTGCGTGCGTGCGTGCGTGCGTGCGTGCGTGCGTGCGTGCGTGCGTGCGTGCGTGCGTGCGTGCGTGCGTGCGTGCGTGCGTGCGTGCGTGCGTGTGTGTATGTCTCCATCTCCTGTTTAAATAGAATGACCTCTCAGTGCTCCGGGGGTCAACTTCCCCTCAGCCTCCCCCCCCTCCCCTTGCTCCCCATCTATCTCACACACTGTTGCTCTCATGTATACGGTACACTCCTCTCGCCCCCCCACCCCCTCCCTTTCTCTCCACCCTCCCCCACTAAGACCATTCCCCTGAGCTTTCCCACACTCACATCAAAGGGCAAGACTTTAGAGGGTGTGTTAGAGCACCCTGCTATGGAATGCGAGTGTGTTAACATGTGTGTGTGTGTGCTTACGTGTGTGTGTCTATGTGTGCTTTACAAAGCTGTGTTGGTTTGCTCTGTTGTTTGCCCTTTGTTGGACTTTTATGAGGGATGATGAGGCCAAGGGGGTGAAAATGCAGGAAGCAGTGACTTGCCAGCCAGGATGTGACATCATTAAAAAAAAAACTCCTGATATTTGCTGGAGGAGCTGAATGTGGGAACGCAAACAACCACATTTTTAGTTTGGATTCTACCCGGAGTTTCTCCTGCCAGCCCCCTAGTCATTTTTCTGCAGCAAGTCCGAGTGGGTTGATGTGAGAATGCAGCAGGATATTCTCCGGAGAATTCAACTCGAGCCAGTGGGAGGGGGGAGTGACGCATATGTACTGACTGCTGCACGGTGCATAGAGTGTTTGCATGCAACCGCTATGACCTCCATGCAAGTAAATAAACGGCTGCATTAGGTTTTGTGTTCGTCAGTATGTTGTTCTCCACTCTTTTGTTTAAAGTGTGATTCTGTTGAACATGTGGCATTGATAAAAAAGGCAAATATTCTCATTAAAGCATCCTATAGTGGACTCTGTTGCTTAGTCCGCTACTTCCGCGTCTTCTTACCTCAGGAGTCAGGTCAGGAGAATATCCTGTCCTCCTCCTGAAAGTATCTAGATATTTTCAGGAGTGTACATGTGAAAACGGCTTAAGACTCTGGTTGTAGTGGATACTGTTTGTGTGACCTCCCAGATGTGGTCTCTGCACCAGCTGTGTGCTCGTGTTTCTTTGCGTGTCTGGCCGTTTGGACAGAGCAGTGTGTGTGAATCATGTCAAGATCTGTTTGCTAGTTTCACAAGCAGATGTGTGTTTGCTTGTTTGCACACTCTCTCTCTCTCTCTCTCTCTCCCTCATTGTAACTGTCTCTGTGGCTGCATCCTCATTCTGTTGTGTCATATCTCCTCTGTGCTCCCGTCATCGATCATGTCTGCTGTCATTAAGGACGGTCCACTTACCTTATTTCTGCCCGTAGTAGTCGAGATGGAGGACTCAATAAAATGCATTAGGCGGAAGTCTTTTATCGGACAGAAAGGACTTGAGTAATGTGATGTTGCACTGCAATAAAGCAGACTTGTCGAATGATGCTGAATCTGATTGTATTTAACTACAATATTGTGTTTTTTCCCCCTTTGTTCTCCTCAAGAACCTGATTATATTAAGGAACGTTGATGATTTTTCTCACTGACCTCTTACTGAACCGTCTTGTGTTGTGGTGCAAAGATTCCCTTTTCTTGCTGTTGTCATAGTAATTGTCTAAAGTGAATATTTCCAACCATGATAATGGAGGAATTCATCACTGTGTGTCAGCCAGAAGCGACTATAGTTGTTATGGGAGATGACATCACTGTTAATACAATAGCCAGACCACCAAGTAGTTTCTATATCTAACTACAAATCATGCTGATATGATGACAAGTGATATCTGACCAATATCAGAA